TGTTGATCTCCATCCCTTCATAGGAATACTGCAGCCAGATTGAGGGGGGCGAGGAAAGAGAAAAAAAAAGAAACAAAAAAAAAACATACTAAGAAAAAAGAGCAAAAAAAAAAAAAAAAAAAACTGTTACAAAAAGATCTCTAGGAAGACCTGAGTGCTTACTTAGCCTGGGGCCCCATAGAGCACACGGGATTAAGGACTAGCCAAGACTGTGTGTGTGTGTGTGTGTGTGTGTGTGTGTGTGTGTGTGTACTCTTGAATACACATATGCATGTGTATGGTCAGATCAGATGGAGGAGCACAGGGGCCAGATGATGATGCAGAGTGAGGCAAGGCCTCAAGAGAATGCCTCTGCAGCGACACTACCAGTGCATCAATCTACCTGCACAGCAACATATCTGTGCGACAGTGCACGTGTGGGGCCAGTTCAAGAAGCAGACCACAAGAGTCAACGCAGAGACTCATAACCGGTCAACGTGCTGAAAATCAGTGGTTGTGAATGCTTTGCCACAAATGGGACATAGTCATCAACTCCCATGTCCAGGGGAAACCCACCCAGGCCAGGGAATATAAGAGGAGGCAGGAAGAATAGAGGAGCCAGAGGATGGGGAGGGGTGCTAAGAGACGATGCTGTGCTCTGGACAAGGTATGGCTTGTCACTCATGAACGAACGCACAGCAGCTTGGTCACCTGCACAAGACAGGCACAAAGTAAAGTCAGCCCAGCTAGAGCACAGACGGGTGAGGAACTCACACGGCCTCACCAACTGAGCAGCTGGCAGTTAATGGCTGGTGGCAAGGAATTGTTCTTTGGGGTATGGCTACTGGTAAGTTGCCCACACTCTAGCCAATAGTCCTGTACCCTTATAAATATGGATAACACTAAAGGAGCTTGGTATGTTATTGAAGAAAAAAAGAAGAGGAGGAGGAGGAAGAGATGTTTTGGGAAGTGGATATGTGGGGCAAATTACAGGGAGAGCTGGAGGGGGAAACTGGAGGCAGGGTTGATATGATCGTATTTCACTGTATACATGTATGGGATTCTCAAAAGAAAAAAAGAAACAAATTGGATGAGCTACTCATCACAGTCAAGGGTCTCAAAGAGGAGCGCAAGGAAGAGCTGTGTTCTGCCCTGAATTCCCAGGGAACTCTGGTCACTAGGCCCTGCCGGGCTGCACCTGTACAGAGAACTAACTCTCTATTCCAGAAAGCATTCAGTGCAGGTCATCTCTTTTTCCAAGGGCCTGGAATGGGACCACTGACTACCAGGCAGAGGGAGTGGGTAGCAATGACTAAGAGTGAAGGGGTGATGCTCTGAGGGGACAATTGGCTGAGGAGAAGAGAGATGCCAGAGAAGCTTTAGGGAAAGGTGGGGAAATCCTGCCCCTGGCCCCCCTTCCCCGCTGCTGCCAAGACAAGCCTGGGAGTCTAGGTAAGATTTCAAATGCATTCACAGCCCCAGTTTCCCACCATACTGTGACCCTGCTATACTGAAATAATGGAGAATACCCATGCACAGAGCTCATCGTTCAGACCCTCTGCCTTCTCTCCTCAGGACCTAGTATACTGTGCAAGGGTGAGTCCTGAGTAAGAGACGGTAATGAAGGGAGGGAAGAGGATGCTGACTTAGAGATGCTGGATGCAGCAAGAAGGCTCCATGTGTGGCAGCAGGCATCCATGTTCTGCTTCTGGCTGCAGTTACTGGTCAGTGAAGAGAGAAGCAGTGAGCAGAGAGAACTCAGCTTGCTATGGACAGCAGTGCTAATCAGTACCTGGTGCTTTTCTTATTATACTGGCAGACTTGCCTGCCACAGCAGGTGGGAAGGAAGAATGGAATTGTGACAGGTTTTCTGTACAGGAGGGGGTGAGGACTGGCATTTTGTTGAAAAGATTCATCCACTGGGCTTGGTTAGAAGTTTGACTTGCAAATTTGATGGGCTCTTTTCAGCCCAGAGCCAAGGTTTGGAGGGTCTGAACTGCTGTGGGTGTGGGTGGATATCAAGGGACATGGTGGAAACTGTCCCTTCTCCAAGCTGACTGCAGTACTTCCAGCAAGCAGGAGGGGGAAATAACCACAGATAGTGGACATGCTCTCCTGGAGAGAACCTCGGGGGCTGGAATCCAAGCCTCTGTCACTGGGCAAGAATAGTTCTGTTGCTTGTTGTAGAAGCTTCTAAAGTCCAAGGAATTACCCCAAGCTTCCGGGTTATAGAATAAGCCACATTGTGAGTGTGCTGGGGCTTCTAGATAATATAATGAGCAGCCTGGTGTGATCAGGCTTCTTCAGGCTTTATCTAACATTCAAACGATTTAACTCCCGTCTTCCTAGCAGCATAAACCCAGCCCAGCCAGAAACACTGGACATTTTCCCCAGGAGGGAGATGCTCCCAGCACACTGTTCACCCTCTCACTCAGCAGATCTGTGATTGACACCTGCTGGGTACACAGAGGAGAGCAAAGACTTCTTGCTCTGCAGAAATGACAGTAGAGGCTTTGGCTCAGTACAGCTGTGTCCCCCAAATCTGAGAAATAGACTGAAGAGCCCCGATAGATGTCTGAAACCTCAGATAGCATCTAACTCTCTGCTGTTTTTATTTTGCACATGCATACCAATGATGTAGGCATAATTCAGGTACAATATGAGAGTAACAATAAAAAGCACGCTGGAGAGATGGCTCAGCAGTTAAGAGCACTGGCTGCTCTTCCAGAGGTCCTGAGTTCAATTCCCAGCAACCACGTGGTGGCTCCCAACCATCTATCATGGGACTCAATGCCCTCCTCTTGCATGCAGGTATATATGCAGAGCACTCATACATAAAAATACAAATAAAAGTCTTAAAAATGTCTTTAAAAAAGTAGAACAATTACAACACACTGTAAAATTATGTGCATATTCCCATCTTTCCTCCTCTCTAACAAACTAGTAACTTTGTATCAGCCAACTTGATAACCAAGAGCTTACATAGTGGCCTATCTATACCTTTAACCCAACAAGAAGTAGGAGGACGTCTGTGAACTTGAGGCCAGCCTGGTCTACATAGTGGGTTTCAGGCTATCCAAGGCTACATGGTAAGACCTTGTCTCAATAAACTAAAAATGAAAAACAGCATGATAACCAAGTTGTCTATTAATTAACCAACAGTCAGGTAGCATGTAAGGGATGGATACAATGGACGACAACACTGGCTCATTTCTGCTCTGAAGGAAAAAAAGAGGGGAGGGAGTGCCATGGAAAAAATGTTTCTGGGATTTTCCATTTAATAATTTTTGATTGTGGTTGACCATGGGTTACTATGAAAAGTAAAATTATAGTTGAGGGAAGGCAACTTAATCACCTCCCAGGGACCAAGCTATGTCTTAGTCAGGTTGGGTGTTGTTTAACAGTTTCCTCTGAGATTGAAACACTGCATTCTGCAGGGAAGCTATTTAAGCAGGGAGGCAATCAACTCAGAACAGCATCAGGAAGTCCCTGAAACTAACTAGATTTGCTGGGCCCTCCTCCCCGAGTAAGCAATAAAACTGCAAAGATTCTCTGACCAGCCAAGTTGTGAGGACTCTGAGACCAGAGCAGCTGCATGGAAGAAGCAGAGACCGACAGACTTGCCTGGAAGAGGTTTAGACCAATCTCATGCACCTGGAGAAGACACTCTCCAACCTGCTGAGCTAACTTCAGGCTGTGCAGTGGGCTCCAGGTTCCCAGCTTTTGTGAGCTGTTACACATGCTAGAGTGAGCTTTGGTGATTCAGCTGTCTTTGAGTCATTTCTGCTCCTTGGAGTAACCCTTTACCCATATTCCTGTGAGTAAAACCCAATAAAACGCATTGGTTCACCAAAATGGACTTTGGTGGTATCCATATGTTGGATATGTCATGGGCTCCCTATCTGGGGTAAGGTGACATGTATGTTGTCATCTCCCCAGGAAACGTTTTGTCACACAATATCGGGTCACCCCGAGTTAATTCACTCCAGCCTCTGGGAGTGGACATTAGAATGAGGAGTGAGGTGCAAAACCCAGGGCCCTCGCCCAGAAGTGGCCAATTCCATTGTCTGGAGATGGGGGATGTTTGGAAAGAGTTTTTCTGTGGTTCTGGTGTTGACCAAAAGTGAAGAACCCTGCCAGAAGTGGGGAGTCAGGGGCTGCCCAGAAGAGGGAGGAGTATGCAGGAGAAGGCACCCTCCCTTACGTGAGAGAAAGCAATGGGGCTCTTGCCGGCCTCTTTCCTGGTCTCCTCCTTGCTCTGTCTCCCCCTCCCTCCTTCAGGCCTACAGACCCCCTACAGACCTACAGAGGGTGAGATAATGAAGGGTAGGTCACCTGGTCCACCCAAGGCTGAGCACCAGCTGAACACCTAGCAGCACTGGACAACCACAGACTTGGACTTCAGGAGGGTGCTGGTGTGACTAAGTCAGGCTCGAAGCCCAGCTTCTGTCCCTCAAGCCTCCTCTAGCCAGGACCCAATGTGGGAACAGCAGGTGTTGACTGGAATGGAGTTAGCTCATGTCAGTGAAATCTTCAGGCCCCTCTCAGGATGGTTCTGAAATGGCCCAGGAAAGGAACTCTTACTATGTATGTATGTCCTTGCCTGTGTGTGTAAACATGATTATACATATGTATGTGTCTGTCTGTCTGTTGTCTGTCTGTCTGTCTGTCTGTCTCTCTCTCTCTCTCTCTCTCTCTCTCTCTCTCTCTGGTTTACACACACATGGTGGGGGGGGCACATGAACATGAGCAAATGACCAAGTTTTGGGTCCCTCATTTAGAAAGTGGGAATTAAGGAACAGCCCATACCTTTGATGATTACCATGTGGCCTGAAGATAATACATACAGAGCTCTGAGCACAGCGTCTGTCACCTGCTCTGAGCCCCCAAAGAGTGCTGTGTGTTTTAATCCGCGTGTATACACCTGGGGATGCTCTGTGAAACTCTATTTGTGCTGCCTGTGTTTATATTTATGGAGACTAATAATAACAGCCATGAACTGAGTGTTTATGTGCCAGACACTTGGTACATATGGAGCTGTATGCATGCGAGAATGCTTATGTGTTCTGATGCATGCACATGTCTGTGTGCCTTTTCCTTTTGAAGAAAATTGAAAAACAAAAGGCTATGATAATCAAATATGCTGGGCAGGGCTTTTTATTTCTTTCTCCTATTTTCTGAGGTTGCAACCGGGAAATACTGTAGACATCATTAACCCAGGTGCCCCCACCAGCCCTGAGCCTCTAGGGAAGTCAGCGTGTTCTGGAGATCTGCCCTCTCTAGATGACCTGCACATAGGACACAGTAGGAACTCTCTGTGTGTCCCTAAGCTGGGCAGCTTGGACCACTGGCTCCCATCCCCCTGCCCTCCCTCGCTCTGCCCCACTTAGCATTTATATAGCTCTCTGTGATCAGCAGACAGTTTGTCTGAGCAAAGTTCAGGGCTGTGCAGGACACAGAACACAGCGACAGGAGAGGTTACAGGCTCCTGAAGGCCAGGAGGTTAAGTGTCTCAATCAAGGCTGGCAGAACCGCATTCCCCTAGTAGATGACTTCTCCATCACCTTGGGGGTGTATGACCCCCAGCTTCCTCTCCTTGTAAGGCAGAGGAGACCTCTGCATGGAATTATTCCTGCCTCTGAGTACGCCCTTGTCCCGAGTACTGCGGGATTCTGCTACTTGAACAAACAAGCCAGAAAACCACGAGAGTACATCAGGACTTGGTTGGGGCACTGTGTCTATTTCCAGAGCTCTGGCCGGCTTCATGCCCTCCTTCCCTCTTGGACCAGCACTGCGGTGGGCCGGTGCCCTTTGCAGCCCACTCATGCTCGTGACCGCCAGCCTGAGAGGAGGTGGCAGGCTCTATTATTAGCAGCACTTGACATTTTCCTGGAGCCTTGGTCTAAAGTAGGCCATGCATCCCCACAGCGGCTCCCTCAGTGGCTGCCTGCAACCGGCCCCTCTGCTCCTCCCACTGTCCCCAGGGGAGCTATAGCCACTGTCCCCAGGCCTGTCCCCAAATAGTGGTTCTGGAAGTGATCCCATCTGCCTACTGAGGCCAGAGGCGTGCCCACACGGGGCTTGTTTTTCATGTCCCCACATTTCTCTGCTCTTTGTCACTGAATCTCTTTTGCCAACTGGACTCACTCCCTCTCCCCATCCCAGGTTACTTAGGGATTTAGGGAAAGCAAACAATCCCTTCCACGCACTCTGCCCAGAGGCCCATCACAACTGGTCCCAGGGACAACCCAAAGCTGGGAATAAAGTGGTTCCATGGCTGGGCTTTGCCCACCTTTTCAGTACGGGGTGTGCCGGTGAAACTGAATTCCAGTTCTGAATTTGCATCTTATAAGCTGTGAGCCCAGGGCAAAGCCACTGCCTTCCCGGGGTTTCAGAGTCCCCTGCTAACAGAATCCAGGAGATACTTCCCAGCTCTGTTTCTGTACCACGGCACCCTGTTTCTAGAACTCTGGGAGAGTGGGGTTTGCCCAGATTAAGGAGGCTACATGACATCTGGGCTGAGATCCACACTACCCTGGGATCTAGCTGACACCCCCTCTAGGCCTTCCCAAAGAGAGGCTCCTGGGGGAAGTCAGGGCTGAGCCCCCCCTGAAGGGTGGGGCTCCAGGGGGTCTAGTTGGGACAGGGGACTCCTCTTGAATCTATTTTGAAGTTGCCCCCCCTACCGTCTCAATGACAGTAGGTCACCCTTCTTACTGTCTCAGAGACTTAAAACTCTCCCATCACTAGGGCTGTTAAAGTGAAAAACGTCGGGTGGGCAGAGGTGGCTGAGGTTCTGTGACAGCTCGGAGGCCCCAGAGCCTCACGCTAGTTAGAGCTAGGCCTGCCTGAGGACAGAGCAGTGGGAACCTCTGCAGCTCTTAAAGGGCCCACCCTGCGCTGTCCTTGGTGGTTGGTCAGAGCCTTGGCTTCTGCATCCAGCCCATCACAAGGCTCCACATCTTCCGGAAGTAGATCTAGAAGTGTCTGGGGCCTAGAGTTCAGAAGCGTAGAGGCTTGGGCCTGCAGCAGAAGCACAGGTAACCACAGGACTTGAAGAGCTGGGTTTCCAGATAAGAGGGTCCCCATGGGTGCTGTGTCACTTTTGAGTCCTTAAACCCCCCCCCCCGCCCCCCGAACTGAGAATCAGACAGACAAGACAGATCCCCACCCTGTCTTGTCCGGTCCCTACTCACGCTGACTGGGTGCCAGCACCAAGCTCCTGTGGAAGAGGGGACAACACTGGCCTGACCCTTTGTGTGTCCCCCTCATATCCAGAGAGTCTCCTGTGACTACCAGGGGCTCCCTGGGCAAGCGGCCCTTGGACTATGGTTGCTGACGATATGGCAATTGGACCTGCTGAGGATATGGCAATCCAGGACGCTTCCGATCCTCACAGAAGAGAATGAGCAGCTGGTCTAAACCAGCTTCTTGGAAGACCAGTTAGTTTCCAGGGCACAGAGGAAGGTTTATAGGGACTTTATGGGATCAGGTTAGGCTAAGCATGGGGTCTCAGGGGCATCTGATGACATTGTGATCCTCTCTCTGTTACCAAGGTCACAGACTCTCTTCTCCTCACTCCAGATGTTTTCCCACACCCTGGGGCAGCTTCTCCCAGGAAGAGAAACTGTTTCTCTATGGTCTGAAATTTCTCTGTATCTTACAGAGTCCAGTGGGGGATCCTGGCTTCCCCTCTCCACCAGTGCCTTCTTGTCTGGCGGGGAGAATTACTTGAGCCAAACCCTTGGGGCTGATTGGCTTGGCCTTGGGCGCTGTGAGGAAGCAGCTAATATCACCTGTGCTTGCAGGTTTAGACTGCTGCAGAAATCTGAAAACACCCAAGGACGAAGCAGGAGAGGAAGCTGTGGGGACAGATCAGCCCTGCATTGCTACATAGAGCAAGAATGTGGGCTTCTCTGAACCCCATTTCTTCCTGGACTACTTCCTTCAGGAAAAGTAGGGCTGTTCCCATGCAGTCCTTTGTGTGGGACTCTCTAGGCCCCGAGTTACACTCTCAAATAAAGCCACCATGTTTACCTACTCAATAGCAGCTAGCCGAGTGACTGGGAGACAGCGTGACACAGGAGGGGACCCCAGAGCCAGCCAGCCCTGCTATTCACCACTATGTGACCTTGAGGAAGTCAATCCCTTTGAGCAGGTGCAGGTCGCCTGGAAGCAAATGGGGCTTCAGCTTCAGGGCCTGCACTTGCCCTCCAGTGCCCTGTGAAGACTTGCCCACAAATCTAATTTCATGCTTCTTACATTTTGACACTAAAGAAGGTACCCAAGTTATATCAGTCTCAGCTCCCCAAGCCTGAATCTGCACACTCCCAACCTGGGCTGTTATGTTCTTTTCCTCCCTCCCTCTCTCCCTCCCTCCCTCCCTCCCTCCCTCCCT